ATCAGGTGGAAGCATCAAAGCGAAGATCGGTGTCTGATCGTCCTGTCCGTTCCCTCGTTAGGGTGACACAACGTGCCAACGATGTTTTCATCCGCTTTTGTTATGGTTCGAAAATCCAAATAAGCTGTAGGTGGCTACACGGACAACGTCCGAGACAGTTCAGTGGTGATGATTCGTAGGGCTTTGCTTCTTTTTCACACGAATCAAGAACTAAAAGTAGTATAAAAAACACCTAGTCTCTTTATTATACAGCGAACTCGAAGTTTAACATAAAACGCGATCGGCAGCATGGACAAATAATTGATGCTGTTCGTCTCGATATCAAAGACGTGACTGACTGAACGAGAAAAGAACAAGATCGATTTGAGCCATATGCATGCAAGTCGCTCAAAAAGCTCGACTTCCGTTCGTGTTCTAAAATAGGGTAGTTCGAGAATGGAGCTAAAACGTCCTGTATTACTTTTCAAAAGTATCGTTTTCGCGTTTGCTTTGATATGGAATACTCTATCCCATGGTACCGGCGCGGAGACCTTGACGGACAATTCTGAATTGAAAGCTCTGTTTGACCAACGGGTCTCCAAACTGGCTGATAGACAGTCTATGGTAACTTTTGTGCCATGCAGACCAGATGTTTTTCCAACTTTGACAATACCGGGATTCTGCTCCGATCTTACCACTCTGGACACTTTATGTACCGAGCTCGAGATCAGCGCTTCCACGGTCGGTTGTTTGGCTTTCCAAGGAAACTTCTGCTGCTATCGTAAGACCGCTTTCTCTCATTCAGCCAAATTTAGCGACTGAACCAAAAGAAGTAGTACGTATTTTCTTTAGGCTCCCTGGCTCAGGGGAACAGTTTGAACGGTCCCGTTACTTCCACTTCCGCCCCGGCACCATCACCTACTAGGGCAACGCCATCACCGACTCCTGCCATTACCACACGACTAACGCCGGCTTCCACGAATGCGCCTCCCACCACGAGATCGACGGCTGCGCCAACACCAGCTCCCACGGCTCCTCCCACGGCTCCTCCCACGGCTCCTCCCACAACCACGACAGCGGCACCGACATCGGCTCCAACACCGGTTCCCACTACGCAGGCTCCAGCCACCACCACCCTATCATCACAGTGCTCTAGACAGCTCGACACATCATGCCCGAACGTCCAGCAGCTCATATTGACACTGATCAATAATGTTCGACGGCAACAAAGAGGGGCAAATATATTGAAAATGCAGTGGGATGGCAAAGCGGCCCAGGTGGCTCAGGACTGGGCGAACCGGTGTCAGAATATCCACGGACCAGATATCCGCCCAACCAGCTGTGCGTTATGGCGCTCCCGGCTTCCTGTTGAGAAACGCAGTCAAAACTAAATTAGTGCCACACTATGATTCAATGCCTGGGTAGGCTTTGAGTCATACATTACTGTATTCCTTCTGGTTACAGTGTTCAACGGTTCGGGTCAGAACATCGCTAACGGCAACGGAATTCAAAGCTGGAATCGCACGTTTCAGTTGTGGGACCAGGAAGCCAACTTATTTACCATCGGCCAAAGTCCCTGCGTGGACTTCGAATTGATTGGACATTTCACGCAGGTACAAAGTCATTTCGAATTCGCCCTTCAATACCAACAGCGACTTTCCTCACCCGCAAGTCGTTTCTGATGTTTTTTAGGATGTATGGGGTACGTTACGGCACGGAGCTGTTGCAGCTCCTCGAATTTTAGTACTGATCCGTCATACTTTACTTGAACAGCGACCAGCTTCCAGATAGGATGCGGGTTCGCCGATTGTCCGAACCCTGTCGGTAACTTTTTCGTTTGCAACTATGGACCTCCGTGAGTACATTCCGTCATGCAACTTCGTGCTGATCGATGATGTTGCTCAAGTTCGAAAAATCATGTTTGGACATTGCAGAGGAAATAGCGGAGATATTTGCTCCCCTTACCTATTCGGGAACTCGGCAAATGGCGGAGTATGCGGGAAATGTGGCGGCCTGGGGAGCTCTACGTGCGATGACGGACTCTGCAGTATGTTCGTACTGTATTGAGCATGTGGGAATGGGAATTATACGCATAGTTTCGTCTTTGCAGCGAATCCTTGTCCGTTCCAGAACGTCTACAGCAACTGTGATAAACCGGCACCGAGTAACCCAACTCTGTTCCCGGCATTGATACCTAATACCAGGAAATGCACCGCTCAACCAAACGATCCTTGGGTGGTAGCTTGCCAAGCGTCTTGCAAGTGTCGAGACCAAGGCTTAATTTATTGAATAGTTCATAAAACGTTTCTCAATTGTTTGTTCTTTCCCAATTTTTGATAGCGTATTTGATCCAAGTAAAAACCCAGTTGCATAACTTTTGGATTGGGTAAATTTATTATGACATGTTTGCAGAATCAGAAAATCTCAGTAGTTTCGCCCGCGAAACAATAGTTCATTGAATTACAATGGTTGTCATTAAGTCAAGAAGAGTAGGTCGATGATGTTGACCTGGACGAGGTAAGGATGTAGTTTATCATACGTGACAGGTCTTGTTAGCGTTGGCGAATGACGACCTGCTTGTTGCTGCTTGACCACGGATCGGTTCCGTCGCTCTGTCTCAATGACACTACCGCATCTCCGTTCGCCGAAGGAAACACGAACGCATCGCTGGCGGTCGTAGCGGCACTAGCAGCGGTCGTTGTGCTAGTCTTTTCTGCACTGGGAAACTCACCGAAAGGCCCGCCAAAGTCAAACTTCTTCTGGCTATTTGGTTCACTAATGGTAATTACGGTGCTGTCAGAAGGACCCCTCACTGTAATGGCACTAGCGGATCCACCGACAAAATTTCCGCCGGCGGAAATGATGCCTCCACCGGTAGCTGTGGCAGTACTGTCGGTGTCGAGAACCATAGCACCG